AGTTCACGCTGAGTGCGTCTCGATTTGGGGCACATGTGGCAGTGCCTGGAAAATGCCGGGAAAAGCCGCAAATGGCAGCCAAAATGCCATGAAATCAATTTGAAACTAGGTTTTTCCTTAGCCCAACTTAACGGCCTGTAAAATTATTTTAAAAGTTAGCAAATGCCAAAATTTAATTATGGCCACAACTCAAACAAATGTCTCTAACTACGCGCTGCCAACTTTCGGCACACATTTAGCCACATACGCATACACACACACACACACGCATACACACACGCAGGCAGCTACATGAATCTGAAATTCTGAAAGTTGAAAGTTTTCAGCGCTGTGTCGAATGTATGCGCATTTCTAATGCTCATTTGTTGCATGCCACAGTCGTCTATGTGCGTGTGTGTGTGTGTGTAATGGAGGCAAGCATACGTGTTGCCAAAGTATTGCCTGAACACATTAACAATGTAATCATTTTTGGCTGAATTTAACGCAAATGAAATGAAAATGTGACAATTGGATGAAGGACTAAAAGGAGTTCGATGCTTTCCTATTTGGCACGCCCATTGGGTCGGATCATATAGCTTACGGTTTATTTCTAAAGGATATCATCAACTACCAACTACTACTACTACTATCTATACTACTATGGTACTCTCTAACCATTAAACTGCTACTTATCTACTACTATTACTATTATACTATCCATACATATATCAACTACAAAAGCTACTACTAATACTACTACTAATACTACAATTCGCCTACTATGTACAACTTTGTGTCATCTATATACTACTATTAGAAATAATCTTACTATCTGTCTACTACTATTATTATTATGTTACTATCCATATAATACTATTAATATTATGCTACTGCTGATTTATTACTATTACTAATATACTACTATATACAGATACATATATATCTACTACTGCAACTTTGTGTCATCTATCTACTACTCTTATTATGTTACTATCTATTATTACTACTACTACTACTAATATTATGCCACTACTGATCTACTACTATTACTAATATACTACTATATACAGATACATATATCTACTATTGCAACTATGTGTTATCTACCTACTACTATTACTATTATGCTACTATCTATCTACTACTATTACTAATATACTACTATATATATACTACATACAAAAGTAAATTCGCAATTTCAATTCCCTAGCTCCGATTGCACCCCAAGCCATAGCCATTATATACCTCTTCAAGCCAAGCCTAAGCGGGTATGTGCGACGTATCTGCTAATATGCCAAACATTTTTCAGCTGCAGATATTATCTACGCATGCAAATGTTCTTATCAATTTTGTTTCGAACTTTTGGGTTGCAAGAACTAAAGTGAAATCAAATACAAATATCTCAGCCAGCAAACAAATATCCCTTGACACTTTTGCTTACAGGATATGACAGGCACAGCAAGCTTCAGCATTCAAGGCCCCCCAGCTAGAGCTGAAGTTCCCCAAATGCGCATAAAGGTCGCTTGGCAGGCGCTGGCCCATATATACTTATTGCCAAATACTTGGCCAAAGTATTTTATATTATAAGCGCGCTCTCAATGCTTATCAGCGCCAGTTGAAGTTGTGTCAAAGTTTCTGATTTTCCTCGTCTTCTTCTTCTTTTTTTTTTTTTTGCGCTGCTCGCTGATAAGAACGCAGCGAGCCAACGGTGAGGGGGAGGGGCAAGGCAATAAACTATGCAACGATTTAAAGGCAACTTCCGGCTTATGCCGAAATTGCTGTACAAATTCAATAGAATGTGGAAATAATAAAAACGAAGTAAAAAGTGCAAAATAGAAAATAAAAGTTGAGCAGCGGTAAAAAAAAAAACGGTAAGGAAAAAGAAAAGATGAAAAATCCGGTCTAAAGGCGAAAGGTTATTTGTAATGCTGCTGCTTAAAACTTTTCTCATTAGTCACTATTTTTTAGCGGCTGTTTAATTGTTGCAAACGCACCAGAAAAAACCAAAACTTTTCTTTAAGTAGTTAAAGTTGTTTTCCATTTTCCATTATGCATCATTTTTTCTTGAAGTTTTCTCTTTCGCACTTTATATAAAAATAAATTCCTGAGCGCAAGTCAAACAAATGCGGCTTTTAGCACTGCAAGATTTGTGTAAACCAATTAAGCCGCGCCCCGCAGGTGAAATGGAAGAAGAAGAAGAGTTGGAACTAATGAACGCTTCACTGTGCAGATCTAATGAGGCCCAAATAAATTTCCACTTGCAGCAGCCAAACAAAAGAAATATTAAAACTTTACTTTCCAGCCGCTTTCAGGCAAATATATTGGCCGTTAGGCCCACTAATTTCGGGCGATTTGCAAATAAACACGTACAAAGAATGTGCGCACAGGAGGCGGCTGTGAGGGCGAGGGGAACTTGGCCAAAGGGAAACGGAAAGGGCAGTGTCATTCAGCAATTACACAGAGCGAGACAGAGTGTGGGAGAGAGCAAGATAGAGATAGGGAGAGGCCACAAAGGCACAGAGCAACACAAAGGCATATACAGGCTCTATAAGCGAAGCACTTGAGTTATGTCTTTAGCCAGCGATTAGAGATGGGCGCGTGTCGTGCATATGATACGATATAAACTGAGAGAATTTTTAAATATTTTTTATGATTTCTCAATATAATTAAAGAGCAGTGTTTAATTAAAATTTTTTTGATGTTTATATAAAATATAATTTTAGCAAAAATAGACAGGTGTGTAAGCTATTAAACTATCCAAAAACACATAAATTAAAAATTAAAAAATAAATAATAAATAATTT